GCCAGGGTGGTGGTGGGGTGTCCCCCCCCTGCCCCAGCCTGGTCCCTGCGGGGTTCTCCCCACCCCTCTCCAGGTGTAAGGTCTGCCCCTTGACGTTCTTCACCAAGTCGGAGATGCAGATCCACTCCAAGTCGCACACAGAGGCCAAGCCCCACAAGTGCCCCCATTGCTCCAAATCCTTCGCCAATGCCTCCTACCTGGCCCAGCATCTGCGCATCCACCTGGGCGTCAAACCCTACCACTGCTCCTACTGCGAGAAGTCCTTCCGTCAGCTGTCCCACCTCCAGCAGCACACCAGGTGAGGGCACAGTGTCCCCGCGGGGCTGGGAAGAGCCCCGGGAGGCTGGGACGTGGCCCCTTCAGTGCCATCTTCGCTTAGGGGATGGCGGGGCGTGCACCCAGTATCTCTCATGCCATGCTCGTTGTCCCCACCACACTCATTTTCCCCACCACCTTCATCCCTGCCATGCTTATCCATCCCCACCACCTTCTTCATCCCCGCCATGCTTGTCCATCCCCACCACCTTCATTATCCGTACCACCCTCATCCATCCCCACTGCCTTCATCATCCCCACCGTGCTCATCATGTCCACCTCCTTTATGGTCCCCGCCATGCACATCCATCTCTACTGCGCTTATTGTCCCCACCACCTTCATTGTCCTGACCACGCTCATCCATCTCTGCCACTCATCTGTTCTCACCACGCTTATTGTCCCCACTGCCTTCATCATCCCCACCATGCTCATCTCCAGCACCTTATCTCCACTACCTTCATCAACCCCACCACACTCATTATCTCCACTACCTTCATGGAGGCCACCATGCTCATCCATCCCCACCACACCAATCCATCCCCGCTGCCTTCACCATCCCCACCACGTTCATCATCTCCAGCACCTTCGTCAGCTCCACCACACTCATCATCTTCAGCACTTTTATTCTCCCCACCATGCTCATCCATTTCCACCGTGCTTATTGTCTCTACCACCCTCATCCAGCCCCACTGCCTTCATCGTCCCCACCATACTCATCTGTCCCCACCATGCCAATCAGTCCCCACTGCCTTCGTCATCCCCACCGTGCTCATCATCTCCACCACCTTTATTGTCCCCACTGTGCTCATCTATCTCCACCGCGCTCATTGTCCCCACCACCTTCTTCATCCCCGCCACGCTTATCTGTCCCCACCATGCTTACTGTCCCCACTGCCTTCATCGTCCCCACCACGCTCATCTCCAGCACCTTGTCTCCCCCACCTTCATTGACCCCACCACTCTCATGATCTCCACCACCTTCATTGAGCCCACCATGCTCATCTGTCCCCACCATGCTTGTTGTCCCCACACCAATCAGTCCCCGTTACCTTCATTGTTGCCACCATGCTTGGCATCTCCTGCACCTTCATTGTCCCCACCATACTTATCATAGAATCATTTAGGTTGAAAAAGACCGTTAAGATCATTGTCTCCAAATGTAGTCCAATCATCTCCAGCACCTTTATTGTCCCCACCACCTTCATCATCCCCACCATGCTCATCATCTCCAGCACTTTGTCTCCACTACCTTCCTTTACCCCACCATGCTTACGATCCCCACTACATTCATTGAGCCCACCATGTTCATCCATCCCCGCCACACCAATCCGTCCCCACTGCCTTCATCATCCCCACCATACTCATCATCTCCAGCACCTTTGTTGTGTCCAACACCTTCATTGCCCCCACCACACTCATCATCTCCACCACCTTCACTGAACCCACCATGCTTATCCATCCCTACCACACCCATCGTCTCCACCACCTTCACTGACCCTCCCATGCTCATCCGTCCTCACTGCCTTCATCATCTCCACCATGCTCATCTGTCCCCACCATGCCAATCTGTCCCCACCGCCTTCGTTGTTACCACCATGCTTGTCGTCTCCACCGCCTTCATTGACCCTACTGCGCTCATCATGTCTACCATGCTCATTATGTCTACCACCTTCATTGACCCACCATACTCATGATTTCCATCATGCTCATCTGTCCCCACCATGCTCATCATCTCTACCACCTTCACTATCCACACCACACTCACCATCTCCACCACCTCCATTGACTCCACCACGCTTATCATCTCCACCATGCTCCTCTGTCCCCACTATGCCAGTCCGTCCCCCCCACGCTCATCGTCCCCCCCACGCTCATCATCCCCCCCATGCTCATGATGCCCCCACGCTCATCGTCCCCACCTCGCTCATCCATCCCCACTACCTCCATCATCTCCCAACTCGTTGGCTCTCAGCCCCGTGTCTCACCTCCTTTCCCCCGTGTCCCACTCCCCATCACTCAACGAGACACACCATTGCTGTGCCCACCACCCTCCCCATCCCCGTGTGACCCCTCCACGTGGTGGGGGGGTCCCTGCGGAGGGTGGGGGTGGGGTGTGAGGTGACGGTGACCCGACGTGTGCGTGTGTGTCCCTCCCGTCTCCAGAATCCACACCGGCGACAGACCCTACAAGTGCCCGCACCCCGGCTGCGAAAAGGCCTTCACGCAACTCTCCAACCTCCAGGTCAGCGTGCGCGGGTGGTGGTGGGGGGCGGTGG